TATGAATGTTAACATTATTTTTATTTGCTGTAAAACACAATTACAGTCTAAACAAATTATACTGTACACAATTACAGTGTTATACCATAAACCACATTTGCAGTACAGTGATACTATAAAACTTAATCACGGTAAGTCTTTCTAACTGTAAACCACGTTTACAGTAAAGCTGTTATACTGTAATATATGTTTACAGTAAAGTGGTTGAACTGTAAAACATCACAACAGTAAAGATACTGTAGATCAGTAATTACAGTAACTTACTGGCAATAGTGTTGCCAGTAAGTTGCTGTAAAATACAATAAAATGTCTAACAGTGTTGGTATCTTTCTTGAAAAAGAGATTTCAATCTCACCGAGAGAACCTGTTTAAAAAAAAGGACTTAATAGATAATATCACTCTTACATGTGAAAAATGTTTGAATACTGTACCTTGTTAAGCCAGTGAACCTTCTCTACATCAGAGAATTGCACCTTTGGGGGAAAAGCATTAAAGTTAAATCTTGATGCATGCTCAATCATCCAGGTAAGTCAATCTCCAAAAGTTGATTCTGTTCATCTGGACGAAGCGTTTTGTGGGAGAAACGTTTCGTCACTCATCCAAGTGAAACGTTTCTCCCACAAAACGCTTCGTCCAGATGAACAGAATCAACTTTTGGACATTAAAGTTAAAAGTTGATGTGTCACAGTGTCATGCATGACGGCGTTGGTGGAAGACGAAGAGGTGTGGTGATTAAAAACCTCCCTCAGAAGTTTAGGCTGTAACAGAAAAACAGAACATACCCAGGATGCCATCGGTAAGGCACTTCTCAGCTCGGTTTTGATCGCGCGTTTTTCATTGTCCACTAAGTCGATGGCTGATGTGATCCGGGCGACTTTCCATTGGCGATTTTTCTTCCAGTAGGTGAGCATAAACACGCACAGCAATACCCAGCTGATGTTGATGCCCAGATAGCCTAACAGATACACAGGGTAGCAGATGAACACCGCTCTCCCGCAGTACATCACGAACTCTATTATTACGTGGTTAACAGTCGAGGAGCTCAGCCTGTCCGTGCACTGCATGCTTTCGGACGGTTTCTGTGCCATCGGGTCAGACACGGTCTGAGGACCTGGTTCAGAAACGCACTTATTGTATGATCAGAGGGCGAACAACTTTCTGTGTATTTCATTTCATTTTCATTTGAAAAGTAGACAAACCAGTCCTCCCCACTTACCTCGCGCTCATAGTAGTCCTAAACCTTCTCCGTGTTTTTTTTTTTAAACAAAAATAAATATGCAGGATAAAATGACGGAAATAAATCCAGACCTGGAACTTAGATTTCCACGCTGTATGCCTATTCTGCACCGGGAGGTGCTGTGTAAGTCAGTGCCAAACACCCCGAACCATATTGTTGATGTTGTAACTACACAGTAACGTCATCAGGGCACGAGCGCACAATCACACGCACGTTGTTGCACTTTTGATTCCTTACTGGCACCTACTGTGTCAGTAGTGCGCTTCAAGTCAGGACTTTCCACGCACACGGAGATGTGCTTATAAGGTCTCGGTTCTCTTTGGATCTTAAAATTCCTCAGTGATGAAGTTTAACAATACAGATACAGATCCTCTCTTACTGAACCCGACTTTATTGCGCTCGTTTAAGTCCCAAACAGACCGCATTTCTCTCCATGGACAAGAAAAAAGGAACGGAGAAATAGCAGATGACGTAATTAACAAAAAGGAACTTATATATTTTTTGTTACCAATTCTCATCTTTCTTTTATCATTATTTCAATTCATGTTTTCATTCATATCTTTATTTAGCTTCATTTGATTTTTTTTTTTGTCTTTTTCTTAGTATTATCATTACCATCAGTAGTGGTACAAATAGTACTGGCGGTGGTATTATTACTTATATTGTTATTATTACCAATATTTTTAATATTATTACTGATATTATTATTATTTAATGATGACTCATCTAACCACATAATGTAGATCCCCATATCCACGCATTGGGTTCAACCACATGAAACTCACACCCAGTTTTAATTGAATGCAAACTCTACAAATATGTACAAATGTTTGTTTGTTTGTTTGTGTTCTACTCTTTTTCAATGTATTCTTTTTCTCGTTTGTGTCAGTGCACATTTTCTTCATAGTTGTTTTTGGCAATGCTGATTAATTCTGGCATTTTCACTATGCATGTTTCACATTTTTATTACCCACTTGTAAACATCTACTCTTACCAGTAGCAGTTTATAAGAGAAAATATATTGAGCAGAATCAAATTGCGTGTGGTTTGTGTGGCCCCCCCACAACGGTCCCAGTTTCACTTAAGCTAGACATCAAGATTGAGCTGGAAAGGATGTGCAGCAGGTTATGGTGTAAGGGCAGAGATGGTAATGTACTAATATGCGTGCGAGTGTGTTGATAAGATGAAAGGAACTTTAAGGAACAAAAGGAGAGAGAGGGGAGGACAGTTAGTGAATCAGGAAATGCAGAGGATTGGTAAGGAGGAAGTGAGGGCAGCTGTGAAGAGGATGGAGAATGGAAAGACAGCTGGTCTGGATGCCGTTATGGGAATGACTGGGAGTGAGGGTTTTCACCCAGCCAGTTGTACAGCATCTCGTTAACATTTCATTACCTTTCTTCAGTAGTAAGGAACTGAGCTTTGTTTGATTAAATAATGTTTATTAATACACCTGTTTTCACAGACAAATAGGCACAAAGTTCTGTGCATTCAAATAAATGAAAATGAGGAAGAATTACAATAAAAATAAATCAGAAGATTAAAAAAACACTGTTAACAATAATACAAAAGCAAGTTCAAAGAGAATAAAATAAAAGTCGCAATAAATCAGTTAACATAAATAGCAATACCCCCCCCCCCAGTCGCTAACAAGGAACAGTTATTAAATTCAGAGTCTGTGATCGAAGGCTCGAAGGAGTAAAAACAAGCTTAGATAAATAGTCTAGACCTTGTTCACTTAGTGATCTCTGTGCAAGAATGTGAATTTCACACATAAAACACGTAAAACACATCAGCAGTCTGACTGCACCGTTTTGTAAATCTTGGATGTGAAAATAGATGATTTAACTAAGTCAGTAAAAAAGGACTTTACGGTTTGCATGAATCAGCCGAGGAGACTATACACCTAAATGAAAGAAACAGAAATGTCAAATAGATTTTATATAAAAGTTAAAGCCTAAAGAAGAAACAAATACTATACCAAAATTATGAATGCTGGACGAGCAAAAGGAAGCAATCACTTGACTGGTTTTTCAGTGTAGTTCAGGAGGAGCTACAATCATGGCCTCAGTCTTGTTGAAATTCAAAACAAATCAATTGCTGGGATAGACATTGAACTAGGTGGATAGCCTCTCGAGCCGGTAAGGCTTAAAAGACAAAAACAGCTGAATGTCAGCATAAATAAATAAGAAATGGAAAGGTTGAACGATGGCAGCTAAAGGAAGGATGTAGCGATATAGTAGTAAGAGACCGGGGACTGAACCTTGTGGAACCTCACAGCTTAGAGAAGAAATGTTGTTACCCTAAACAGAGAAAGTCCTGTCTGAAAAATCAGAGGAAAACAAGTCTAACACCAAGCCAGAGATACCAGCCGAAACCTCAAGCCTATTAAGTAACATACCATAGTCAACGGTATGAAGGGCTCTATTGAGATCAACTAAAATGAGTACAGAACAATTTCCTGAATCAAATACCATTAGAATCGTATTATAGACTCTCAATCTCAAGGAGTGCTGCTTTGGAAAATCAAACTGGAACAGTCAGAAATCTGTTTTTTGTATAAAAAGGATCTCAATTGACTCCCCACAACTGTTTCTAATAATCTCCTGATAGAGTAAATGGCAATTTTGAAACAGATGGATAATTCCCAACAGAACTGGCATCAAGATTACATTTTTTAAAGTAACAAAACTGGCTCGGAATGCTTAAAACGGGGAATGCCACAACCTTACTTCAAACAGTTGTTAACGGTAGTTAGAAATGAAGAACCATACTTGTAAAAGTCCCAAACAGGAAAGAGGTAAAATCTCAAATAAGTATGAAGAGGGTTTTATCAAGTCCATTACTGTAACTAAGCCATTAACAATAACTGGAAAGAATGACGTAAAGGACTCAGCTCACTAAGAGCCATCTTCACATGCTGAGGAACATAAGGAGAACTTGGATCTTATGGTAACTCGGTCACCTTATTTACAAAATGATTGAGAAATACATTACAGTCATCCTGGGATTATTCTTGTCACAATTAGATTGAGATGGCTGAAATAAAAAGATCCAGTCCTTTCACTGCTTCATTATAATAGTGGAGAGGATCTTTCAAATAAAGAAGAGGATCAAACGTTCATCTCTGAAATAACAGTCATCAATTGAATGTCAGATCCTAATACAAACACGTTGTTAATACTTAGTTAAATGAACATTAAAAGAGTGACTTATGGTCACCAAAAGCAACTTCATTTACTGCCAACTTAACACCATAAGCTATGTCCAAGTTGCATTTTTGCGAGGATAGTGGGACCAGATACATGTTGAACAAAGAGCACATGACACTCATTAACTTAGTGGTACTGTCTGATCAACCATCAGCATTAATGGTCAAGTCCTCAACTTACTGCAGTTTGATGGAAACTGTGAAAATATTATTTAGCATTGAAAACAAGCTGATTTTTGCTTGTATATCTCATCAGTTATAGTTCTGACAAATTGTCTTTTCTTGCATACAAAAAGTGACACAAACTTGTTTTAATCTTACGTTTAAGTGTGTCAGTTTCAAGTAAGACCTCCAGTGTTACTAGATTGGAAGATGAATTTTGTGCCTGGGATCAGAGTGTTCCTTATTTACACGATCAAAGATAGTTTTTCTGCTACTTTCGGAAAAAAAAATCCATAAAGGAGTATGAAACTCTTCAAGCATCATGTCGGCAGTTTCCCTGCAGTGGCTGATGAGGTGATTTTTAAGTTGCAAAGCTTTTCTCAGATCCACTTGCTAGATGGATTTCTTCAGCCCAAGCAGAGTGAGCTCATACCTTTAGAGAAACAGGTGTGAAATATTCACATGACTATATCTAAAAACAATAATCACCCACACACGGTTTTACATTAGAGTCCATGACTTGCAATCAACAAAGAAACAAAGAAACCAGCACCAGTTTGTATTTGGTGCTGAAAGTGGTTATTTTAGTGAAAACCCAGAAACAAGTATTGCCCCTTATAAGATGCTTCATACTGACACTCATATGTATGTATAGATAGATAGAAACAAATAGATTAAACTGCTTTTAAAGCTTGTATCAGAAAAAATGAGTTGTTTATATTAGATAGTAATTATATTTGTTTCAATTTTAATGACACCAATACTGATTATTTCTTAATATGTTTTTAAAAATTAAGATTATTTTTATCAGAAGCATATATCACTCTAATTACTATAAAAATGTTTATTTACAAATAGGAATATTCCTCAGTGTATAGTTTTATTATTTTTAAGGTATCAATGCCGTTTACCCTGACGTAGCATAACATACCAAGCCAATGCCCTTTTTCTCTCTGGAGACCAACATCTTGTTACTTTTCACAGACACATACAACTTCCTAGTTTGTGCTTCCCTGAGTGTCACATCGAACTGAAACCTGTGACAAAAGATGATTGTCAGAAAAGTAAAAGAAAGTAACACTGTGCACAAACTTTAAAACTCCCAGCTCTTCGTTTTTTAAAAAACAAACGGGATATGTAGAATTAGTTTATTACGCTCACTTTTCTTTGAAAATGGATTGATCGCCCTCTTCTTGACACCGGTCCTCTTGCGATGCTTCAAGCTTTGGACAGGAAGGAGATACAGGCGGACGTAAGAGTCTGTGCCGTTCTCACTGCAGGGGAATAAATTCCTGCGTGACAGAGGATTTTAAAAGAAAACTGTATATTATATGTGCAATTTACAATCTCTAACTGTTGCCTTTTTCTCATCTGATGTGTTGAGTTCAGATAATTTAAACAAAAATAATGAATATCTTAATATTCTTAAATTAAGCCTGTTTATGACTTATACAGCTACTGCAAACATATTATATGACATATTTTCAATATCCTGGACCTAGGTGTATATATATATTATTTCAACATATGGTGCTTATTAGAAAAGAGTTTAATGTCATCACACTAAAAATGCAAATCATAACTGGTGCTGCTTGATCGCTGTGACATACCTGCAATTGTTAACAAAGACCATGAGTTTGTTCCTCATGGCTGCATATTGTACAGACAACGCAATCTCTCCAAATGAACCCAGATGATTCCTAATGGCCCTTTAGAGGTAAAAATAAATATATGAATGTCACCTTTTCTTTCTTTCAGTTCTTTTGAGAATGCAGCATCTCGCTTAGTTCATTATATCTGTAAAATATAAAAGTCAGCGTTAGAGGACAGAAATGGACACACAGAGAACAATTCTCACTCTGGATAGGAGGCTCCATCTGACAGGTCGAATCGCGATGAATTGATGACGTTCTCTAACAGCAGGCTGTGGGAGTCGAACCGACGCAAGTTTATTGATGAAGATGATTGCTTCCTGTTTTCAGGCGCCTGGGAGGAGCCACAGCCTTGAGCCAAATAGCCTTTGCTTGGTGATGCTCCTCCAGGTTCGGAGTAGAGGCAGCAGGGATATTGTTGGAGGAAGCTGTGTGAGAGGAGGGTGGAGCATTGGAGGGATTGGAGACTGAGCTGTACCCTGATTTTCTGGCCTGTTGTTGTTTGCCTTGTGGAGGAGACTGAAGATAGTCTGGGATGGAGGCTCTTCCAAATTAAGAATCTGTGTGAGATTTACATCAGAGCTGATGAGGAATTGTATTGGCAGTACTAGTGAATAACACAATGGGGGCGGGGGGGAACAAAAACAACAACTAAAATAAATAAAACAGGGAAACCTAAGAGATCTTTAGCCTTGCATGCCCACCCTGAGAGTGGCCCTCAGTTTGATCTGGCTGTTTGCTCCAGAGCGCTCCAGCATGAAGCGCTGTCTAGAGTCAGGTTGGAGGTTCTGAGCAGGTGACTGAGGGGCAAGCTGAGAACACGACTAGATTCTTCTTCTCAGGCTCTTTGACCTGAACCACATGAACAAAGAAAATATGAAAAAACAAAGATTAGATTAAACTTATGAAGAGATCAGATGGAATATGGTGTTGCAACATTGGCAACACACTGGAGAAATCAAGGTTTGAATGATTGGTTTACAGGCATACAAAACAAAAACTGTATGAAGAACATATCTGATTAAAAACTGGAAAAAATGTGAGAACATGCTATTACTTTTCTAATTAGGTTATTAAATTAAAGGTTTTAAACTATTTATTTTACATTATTTTACAAACAGTACGGAGTAAATGACAAACCTGAACAATGAGCTCCTGTGCACTGACATTATGCACAAAGAATGTGAAACCCTTTTCCCAAACTGGATCTTTAGATGCATACGCAACCTGTGGAAAGAGAGCAAGACGGTCACTGTGATGTGTGGATGTAACTGCAATCTCTGAAGCAGATGAACTGACCAGTGTTTTAAATTTTTACAGAAGAAAAATAATCGAAAAAAGGACATATGCACTTAAAGGTGGAAATGGCGTATTAGCAATACTACCTCGCTTTTCTTAACGTCGTCGTCAATGGACATTTCCACAAAGGAGTTGGGACAGGTGGTTCTCTTTGTGAGCTGAAATAAAAGCAAACCAGTGAGGCAGTGAGAACATCTGTTCTAGTTTACAACTACTGTTAGCTGAGTCTGTGTTTCTGTGAGCCACTGTCAACATTTAAACCAGAAATAAACCCTTGCACATACAGGGAGTGCAGAATTATTAGGCAAATGAGTATTTTGTCCACATCATCCTCTTCGTGCATGTTGTCTTACTCCAAGCTGTATAGGCTCGAAAGCCTACTACCAATTAAGCATATTAGGTGATGTGCATCTCTGTAATGAGAAGGGGTGTGGTCTAATGACATCAACACCCTATATCAGGTGTGCATAATTATTAGGCAACTTCCTTTCCTTTGGCAAAATGGGTCAAAAGAAGGACTTGACAGGCTCAGAAAAGTCAAAAATAGTGAGATATCTTGCAGAGGGATGCAGCAGTCTCAAAATTGCAAAGCTTCTGAAGCGTGATCATCGACCAATCAAGCGTTTCATTCAAAATAGTCAACAGGGTCGCAAGAAGCGTGTGGAAAAACCAAGGCGCCAAATAACTGCCCATGAACTGAGAAAAGTCAAGTGTGCAGCTGCCAAGATGCCACTTGCCACCAGTTTGGCCATATTTCAGAGCTGCAACATCACTGGAGTGCCCAAAAGCACAAGGTGTGCAATACTCAGAGACATGGCCAAGGTAAGAAAGGCTGAAAGACGACCACCACTGAACAAGACACACAAGCTGAAACGTCAAGACTGGGCCAAGAAACATCTCAAGACTGGTTTTTCTAAGGTTTTATGGACTGATGAAATGAGAGTGAGTCTTGATGGGCCAGATGGATGGGCCCGTGGCTGGATTGGTAAAGGGCAGAGAGCTCCAGTCCGACTCAGACGCCAGCAAGGTGGAGGTGGAGTACTGGTTTGGGCTGGTATCATCAACGATGAGCTTGTGGGGCCTTTTTGGGTTGAGGATGGAGTCAAGCTCAACTCCCAGTCCTACTGCCAGTTTCTGGAAGACACCTTCTTCAAGCAGTGGTACAGGAAGAAGTCTGCATCCTTCAAGAAAAACATGATTTTCATGCAGGACAATGCTCCATCACACCTCACTGTGTTATTGCGTTGTCACACTATGGCCACCAGAGGGCAGTCAGAGGCAATGCTTCTGAAGGCAACAGAACTGAGAAATGTTTAGCTGGTCTCTGTGAAAACATGCTCCTTGCCTGCCAGTGCCTAAATAACAAGATGAATGGATTCACACATAATACCATGTAACTATAAAAAGATCTGTGAGTATAGCAACCTTGGTAATGTGTCAGTGTGTGTCTGATTTAAAAAAAGATTTAATAGTTCTAATTTCCTCAAAAGTTCCCGACTATGTTCACTTTCTGCATTCTTCTTTATGCTAGCAAACGTAACCTGAACATTGCTCAGGAGGAAGACCAGCTGTCAGTAACACAGCTACGTAAAATCAGAGGCATTTGCCAGACAAAAAGGCCAGCTTTCACAGACACAAGAGCACTTGGAGTGATAACACAAAGCTCCTGATCAAACTGAGACATCAACATTCAAAAGCATCATCAACTCTAGGACACAAAAATGAAAGAAAAGCTAAGTACCAATGAAAGATAAGGACTGCCCTTTGTTATGAGCCACAAACTCGAAAGCAAAGTTGAAATATTGTTCAAGAGAGTTACATTTTTGGACAATTTTATAGTAGAAAGAAAATAAATTTAACACCCCCCCCCCCCCAATATCTAAATTTTTCATTAACGACAAATTTATGTGATTTATTTTTCTTTTTTAGTGCAGCAGAAATTAAATTACAAAATGCATTCTCAGAACTGACGCCAGTTTTATCTGATATCAGATGAAAAAATATCTCCATTATGACCAGTGGGCTGGTTTTAACAACAATATGTGCAATCACACAGAAAGTTAGATGTTTATGTGCTCGCTGCCGAGAAGTAAAATATATCACTCTCTGTTATTTTTAATGAGTAAAACAAAGCTTGAATTTTTTATATACCTATGTCAAATTTTAATTTCAAATAAACACACTTTTACTGTTTTTCAGTGGCGCAACACTCAGTTAAATATAAAGCGCTCTAATACTGTACTTTGGTGCCAAATATTCTTATAAAATTAGAAGATAATAAAGTGAAACTACTTTTCTCGAGACTCACGGCCATCTTTTTGTAGAGCAGTACAAAAATACAGCTGAGCACATTTGCATCACTGACTTACGTCAGTATTTTCTAATACTCCCTATTAGAAGATACTTACTGGTAGATCTGCGGCACTGTGCAGGTACACTGCAAGCACAGCACAGGCAAAATTGTCCGTGGACTGGAAGGAAGAGTTGGGAGAGAGAATGAACGTGAGTTACATAGCAGCTGGACACTGAGCTACCTACAGCGGCAGTTAAAAGATGAATAATAAAATCCTGATGTTAGTGACATCAAAGAAACACTAAGCTGCTGTACCTCCTTCAGCAGGCTGGTGTCAGTCTGAAGGGAAAACCACTGGAGCTTAAGATGAACTTCACCATGCAGTGCCCTGTCCACAGGAAACCACTGCATGAGTAAAAGGATGTTCAAAAGGATTAAATACAAATCTAGAACTAGAGGAAATTATAACAGAAGCTTGAACACTACATAAATCCTGCAATGTCCTCTAGCACAGAAATACTGCTATTAGTTGTTTATTAGCGTTAAAAAAGCTCACCTGATCCATTTGTTTCTCCCTCTTCACTTCTCCAAAATCAAGGTTATATCTAAATTAGACAAGAAATGTAGAATAACATCAGAACTCAGACAGATCATTATTTTAATCAGTTTTGTGGCTCAGAAATGCATACCAAAGCAATAATCATATCACTACATTTAAAAAGAAAGTAAAACTACACACACTGACATGAGACACGGACTTTCAAATTAACACAGGAAACACGGCAGGCACAGACAAGACACTGAACTAAACCTACCCTAACATGAAGATTACAATAATAATAATAATAATCAGCACAACTAAGGAATCAGAACCTAAATCATAATACAGAATAATACAAAAACACCAGAAACAGAAAATGCTGGGTCAAACGACCCAGAAGCGTGAAAGCTTTGATTGGTCATGTATGGCCAGTAAAACCAGAAAAGTGCTATACAAATACAAGTAAATGACATATTATGGACAAAAATTTAATATGTTGAATATTGAGTGATAAAACTGTCTTTAAGTTGGATCTGTTGACATCAGTGAATACAGGAGGCACTACAACGAGAAATCTACTGATGACTGATTGGCAGATGCTGCCTAAAGATGGGGCAATCGTGGCTCAAAGAGTTGGCAGTTCGTCTTGTAACCGGAAGGTTGCCAGTTCGAGCCCCGGTCGTTGTGTCCCTGGGCAAGACACTTCACCTACCGCCTACTGGTGTTGGCCAGAGGGGCCGATGGCGCGATATGGCAGCCTGGCTTCTGTCAGTCTGCCCCAGGGCAGCTGTGGCTACAACTGTAGCTGCCTCCACCAGTGTGTGAATGTGAGAGTGAATGAATAGTGGTATTGTAAAGCGCTTTGAGGGCCCCGAAAAGCGCTATATAAATGCAATCCATCATTATTATTATTATCATTAAAGAATTTGGCCAAAATCCATTTAATATTCGATTTACCTTCCAAGACAATCATCTTTGTCTGCGCCCTCATTGCACAGCTCTAATTCTAGCTCCTGCCCCGGGGCCTCATGGACAATAAACTGCACACACAAAAACAACAACAACAATGTTTTAATTGTCTTTCAAGTATTTTGATTAAATTTCACTGAATGGGATTTCAGTGGGTTACATTAAGAAAAAGTGGATATAAGATACTGAGCAAAAATGCAAACAAACTCCACGTAATTGTGTTTTCAAGTTTGTCCATGAGAATTAAGTGACACATTTTTTTGTTAAGGGAAAAAAGAGTGTCAGAATCAAACAGTAATCGATTACTGAATCAAAGTGTGGATAAGTGCAGTGTGTTTGTGTACCTCATACACTTCATTCCATTTTGGGAACAAATTCTCTTTGACAGTCTTGCTTTTGAAATGTGTGCTGCCCACTCTCAGTGTGGCATATCGGTCTGATTTCGCTTTCATTAAATTCATCACGTGTGTGTTCTTAGCCACCAGATCTCTGGCCTCCAACAAGTGGACCCTCACCACCCCCTGAGATGAAAAAGCACAAGTATTCACATTAACAGTCAGGTAAACTGAAAGAGCAAAAAACTAGCAATAGTCAAAACAACATTCAAAATTTTTATACTTTTTTATTTTGATAGGATTCTGTTTTTTAATGTGAACTGCTGCTTACTGTAGCTGCAAGTTATAAGATGAAAATAACTCCAAAAATATTTAACATGAGGAAGTGGGAACCTCATCTGGTCCCCTTTGACCTTGTCTATGAGGGGAATGCACATGTGGTTGGGCAACACCATGATGGAAGCTATAGCATCCAAGATCGTCTCCTCAGACAGTGAACTGTGAGGTGAAAGATGTGATGAGAGAGGACAGCAACCAAACAAGTAAACACCGAGTAATAAAATCATTCATTTCAAATATTTAAAATATTATTTGAGACCTTAAAGAAGGGATGCTCAAAAGGTTTGGCGTACCAGTCCAGTTTATGTGCAGAGTTTTAAACATTACTAACTACAAGGCTCCACTCGTCATAATAAGGCTGTGAGAAAGTCTCTGGCCACTTACAGGGCGGCGAAGGAAGAAAAAAGTCACTCCTCCCACCAGCGGTGCTTGACCAATAAGAGGCTCTAAAATGACCCTCAGCATCCCCTGAAGCTGGAAGATTCAGAGCGAGTTTTACATGAACAGTAAGCATGTGATATAGACGATGGAGAGAACACAGAAAAATGAGATGCTCACTTTAAGTCCTTTCACACGAGTTGTGATTGCCAGGCTCACGTCAGTGCTCATGTCCACATCACCATCATAACTGGAGAGTAAACTGAGCTGGTCAGACATAAATGATGACAAGAGAAAACATCACACTACCGTGTGGCTCAGGGGGTTGGGAATCGCATCTGTAACCGGAAGGTCACCGGTTCGATCCCTGGGCTCTCTGTCCTGGTCGTTGTGTCCCTGGGCAAGACACTTTACCCTACTTGCCTACTGGTGTTGGCCAGAGGGGCCGATGGCGCGATATGGCAGCCTCGCTTCTGTCAGTCTGCCCCAGGGCAGCTGTGGCTACAACTGTAGCTGCCTCCACCAGTGTGTGAATGCGAGAGTGAATGAATAGTGGTATTGTAAAGCGCTTTGTGTGCCTTGAAAAGCGCTATATAAATCCAATCCATTATTATTATTATTACTACTTTGTAAACTAAGGTGAAAAAATTTGTTTGACCAACCTTATATTCATGTCTAGAATCACTTCCCTATGTTCCACTTCATGTGTGTACGCTCTTATTCCAGTGATCTTGAGAGGCTGAAAAAAAAAATAATAAAAAAAAAATCACTCGGCCACAATACATCACCTATGATGCACTTCCAATGATGAATGTTACTGAATTTTTGAAGCAGAACAAATAAAAATGGTGCATAAATCAAAACCACACACTTTGTATCCAAAATGAATCTTGGTAAATGTGAACACTTTGAGTGCAGGATTGGAGGACCTGATGGATGGCTGGATCTTTTCTCTAAGTAGCTTCTCCATGTACATCCCAATGAATGGCCACGCCTGCTCCAACACCTGAACACATAAAAAAAACACCACACCACTTTAGCACAACTTGATTCAGCACCTATGAGATCACATGGTACATAGAATTTTATTTGCTCTCTTATATGAGGTGAAAACAAAAAGGCTTAATGTATCAAATGGCTTATTTAACTTTTTAAAATGACAACTTATTTTAATATTTTTGTAGCCTAAGCCTGCTTTAAATTTCTCGAGAATCTGTGGCAAGATCTGAAAACTGCTGTTCACAAACGCTGTCCATCTAATCTGACTGAGCTGGAGCTGTTTTGCAAAGAAGAATGGGCAAGGATTTCAGTCTCTAGATGTGCAAAGCTGGTAGAGACAGACCCTAAAAGACTGGCAGCTGTAATTGCAGCAAAAGGTGGTTCTACAAAGTATTGACTCAGGGGGCTGAATAATTACGCACACCCCACTTTGCAGTTATTTATTTGTAAAAAATGTTTGGAATCATGTATGATTTTCGTTCCATTTCTCACGTGTACACCACTTTGTATTGGTCTTTCACGTGGAATTCCAATAAAATTGATTCATGTTTGTGGCTGAAATGTGACAAAATGTGGGGCCGAATACTTTTGCAAGCCACTGTATGCTAAGTGAGCCTACCGCAGACATGAGCGAGACAGATAAATATGAAGGGATGCCGGATCGGATGTCACCCAGATCAACAAGGTCCGCGTCAGGTGTTGAGGAACCAGGGCACCCTGATGAAAAGTGGGCCAGTTTTCAGCCACCTCCTGTACATTGATGACATCAAGCTGTATGCCAAGAGTGAATGAAACATCGATTCCACCAGGATATACAGCAATGAAATCGGAATGTCAGTCGGACTGGAGAAACGTAGTCGGATGATAACAACAACAACAACAAAGAGAGGGAAAGTAGTCAGAACTGAGGGGATCGAACTACCAGAAGGAAACATTGCATACACTGGGGACAGTTACAAGTACTTGGGGATCCCACAGGCAAATGGGAACCATGAAGAGGCCGTTAGGAAAGCTGCAACCACCAAGTACCTGCAGAGGGTCAGGCAATTCCTGAGGAGCCAGCTGAATGGTAAGAACACCTACGCCCTGCCGTGATCAGGTATCCTGCTGGATAATAAGCTGGCCAAAGGAGCAGATAGAAGCCACTGACATAAAGACAAGGAAGAAACATTGAAAAAGAAACACTGGCTGCCCTCTCCCCACACTGGAAGTTCTACACAACGCCCACTGTTTTAAAAAGGCCCAAAACATCATAAAAGACACCTCACATCCTGGCCACTCCCTGTTCGAACTGTTGCCCTCAGGCAGACGGTACAGGGCAATCAGAGCAAGGACTAATAGACTCAAACACAGCTGTTATCCAACTGCAATAACACATCTGAATACTACAAAAAAAATGTCCATCACGCCACTCTTGTGTTAATCTATGCACGGCCTGAAGCATGTGTGTGGGAATGTATGTGAATGTTTTACTGTTACATCTTATTAGTATTTTAAGTATTCTATCTATTTTATTTATTGAATTTTATTGTTTTATTTATATTTTGATATTGCTAGGGATGATGCAATGATCGGGGACCATTCTTCATTTCGTTGTTCTCGTGACAATGACAATAAAGTTTCTGATTCTGATTCTGATTGTGGGTCTGCATACAAGGACAATTATAAAATATAATAAATAAATAAGGGTGGAGGTGCTGTGGTCATTTAGGGTGGAGATGGTAATTCTACTGAGACCAAAGTACTGCACAAGACCGGAAAATATTGCACATACCAAAGATACTGCACATGAGCCCAAAAAATATTGCACAGAACATGGAAAGATTGAGATATTGCACATGGATGATCAATAGCAGTGTCAGAGTGGATGTGTTGGACAAGTCTTTACTCACTCTTAGTTTGCATTAAGAGTTCTGACGGCCATCGGGAAGAAGGTGTTCTTTAGTCTGTTGTTTTTGCACCTGATGGATGTGAACCTTTTTCCAGAGGGCGGGATGTTGAAGAGGTGGTGGTTAGGATGGAGGTGGTCCTGTATACTTGCCCTGGCTCTGGAGAGACATCTTGAGCTGGCAATTAAGTCCAGGGAGGGGAGTGGACCGCTGATCAACTTCTCTGCATACAAACCTTAATGTCCTTTCAAATAATTTTTCAAGCACTTATATATCAAAGCTTGCATATCATGAATAATATGAAAGAGCTGTGTACAATACTGTTGGAGGGATTGTTTTTAAAGGCACTTCAGTTTCCCTCAGTTTTGGCCTGCTGAGTCATTGTTCAGGTAGTGTTCAACATAAATTGATATGTGAATTGACAGCGATGATGCTGTATCAGAAGACACAGACAGCTGTTGTATTTTGAACGTACCTGTGTTAACCCTGGTTTAACATTTACTTACATGTGTTAAACTATCTGTAAAGGTTCATAGTTATCATAAACTCTTTAGAGAAACTCAGCGCCGTTGCTAGGTAACCAATTAACTCGCCCTAAAGCCTGTGAACAAGAGGACCCACGCGCATGTACGCTTCAACTGCTTTTCCTCTTCGGTGTTATGTTATGTTTAACTAAACAGGAACGCCTGTTTAGATTAGCAAGCCGACTCTGTATATGTGGTGGTACTGCCCCCTAGCGACTCTTTCCCAGAGTACAGTCAGCCTTGAAAAGTAGTACTGCACTCTATCACTCATATAAGAGCATGTGGAAATTGCAAACAGTGCGAGGAATATAATAAGCAATAAAATAGCAATACAGTGGTCCCTCGCTATAACGCGGTTCACAATTTTGCACGTTTTTTTTTCTTTACTGGAAAAACTAACTACAAAACACTGTATGATACTTGGAACCGGGAAACATGGAGGGACACAATCAGACAAACCAACAACAGATAAAGGAAGACAGAGGGCAAAATACACAAGAGGGTAACGAGGGAAACAGGAACAGGGAACACAGCTGGGACTAATCACACACATGAGACAGGGAGAAAGTGAAACAGAATAGACGAACGCAGGACTGTCAAAGTAAAACAAGAAATTCACGAACATGGAAACTAGGGCGACCAGGCATAACACAAGGAATTCAGGGAGGCACAGTAACAAAATCTAAAGCCTAGAAATGACAAATACAAAAGCTAACTTAGGGAGCTACAAATACAAAAGACTACGCCACGAGAGCCACAAAATAGAGAATATTCACCAGACCCAAGATCATGACACTTACAATCTTTATTTTTGGATATGCATATTATCTACCATCACACAAAATTTGAAAAGGATATCTTGGAAAGCTTTGGACGCTAAACAGACTAACAAACGTGACTGATTACATACTCCCTGCGTTCAGTGGGGAGAATAGGGACTCTATACCCCCAGCTGGTCATCTGGGAATCTGCCTGAAGAGATTTATTCTTTTCACAATCACACTTTCACACTGAAATGATGTCAAATCAACCATGTATTAGTTTGAAGATATTTATTTGCCATGAATATGAATTGAAAATGAATGTCCCTTTTAGTTTCAGCTCAAAAACAACAACTGGGAACAGCTTCCCTGCTCAATAATTAATGTAAAACAGAAAAACATCAAACTATTAGCCAAGACAAAGTCTTCATCCACTATAGATCTCTGGTAGTCTGAAGACAGTTCTACTAAAAATATTCTGCCACCTGTTGTAACAAATTTACCAACTACAATTGAGATTTTTTTTAAATAATACATAAATACAAAAAAAAATAATCTTTCTTTAAAGTGTTTATGTCAAACCTCTGATTAACTACTTAGCTCAGAACTGTAGTCCCTCATAAAGAGAGTGACGGCGTACTGAGATGTTATTTTGAATGGTCTGAGAAGATTAGCTTTAAAAGAAATGACATCCTATTGAGTCAGTAACTGAGGCCAAAGAACTTGGCTTGTGCCCTTCTTGGATGCAGTTTTACTTCCAATGAGCTGCAGAACAGCTCAGCTGCCTCGATGTAAAATCTGCTTAGTGGGACTTCGTGCATTTCAGTGTTTATCGAAGTCTGTAATCCTTCCTCACCATGCACTCACTCATCTACATTGCTGTAACAAACATTTGGCTTTTACCTGATTTGCCCCAATATATATACATAAAAACTGTCAATAAATCTATTTACAATATAACACTAAAGATGAACTTTGGTTCAGATGAAATAACCAAAATATAGGCGTTGCTTTGCTTGCACAAACCTTTTTTTCATTGTTATTAAGGGTCTTTTTTTACAAAAAAAAAAAAAAAAAAAGCACACACACACACACAAATAAATCTTGGTTTGCTGTGTTTCGGATGAGTAAGGAGTATGAACGTCTGTCATTTTCTCTGCAGCGGTTGCAGCAGCAGCTTTTCAAGCTGAAGTTTCTCTCAGTTGTACATGTTACACTCACTTCTTCAGCCCGGGTAGAGTGAGCTCATACCTTCAGAGAAAAGCAATATCACACGTTTATGTGATTATAAGTATAAAATAAAAATTAGCAAAGGTTATCTTCTATTGTTTTAATTCCCTTCTGCCATCAGGCAGATAGGCTCTATGCCCTCCACAATTACACTCATCTGGGAATTTGTACAAAAACTGTTTATGCTACATTGCTATAAAACTTCCATAACGGCAGCAATAGTCCAGGAAGTTATATAAAAAAAAGAAACAGGAAAAAAGTGCCCCCCACAGCAAAGGGGCAATCAGAGCGACACATCAGGAATTACTAACATTTTGTTTGTAGCTAGTGTCACATAAACCATGCAAAAAGAAAAGTGTCCCCTTACCACGCTGTGATGCCTTTGACTAGATCCATTTCTGATAGATCTATTATTATCTGTGGACAGAAGCAAAAGTGTCATTAATTATCTGGAACAGGCTGCAAAAGAGTGACAGCCAAAGACAGTTTGACATGAAAGGGATCAATAAAAAAGAAAACTGTTATGAGCCCGTTTGGAAAATGAAAGGTTGCATATTTGTTCGACAAATCGCAGTGCACCGAGCAGTTTCACTAACAACCTTTTACCCCACAGCTGTAAAAGGCTTTCTGGGGTCTTGTCGTCAGGCAGACACCAGTGGCGATGTAGGAATTTCAAGTTGATACTACATCTCCTCAAAATCGTGTATGAATTTTGAATCTTAGTGACCTCAACCTCAATGTGCATTTCAAAAGTCAAGTTTTTTGAGAATCTTGTTAATGTGATAACTCAAGAAGGAAGTTACCTAGGAATTTCAAATTTATACCATAGGTTCATCTACTAGGTGGCCAAGAGTGGCACTGGACGGCTGCAAGTAGTTTTAAAGCTTAGGTCAGGAACAGAAATATAGAAAGGGAAGTAAGTTTCACACAAAGAAATAAAGTCTGAATTTTTTTTATGGTAGTTTCATTTTAAAGACATAATATTTATCAAAAATCCAGAAAAAAAATCATAAAGTTATAAACTGATTTGCATGTCATTGACTGAAATAAGTATTTGCCTAAAACCAAGCCATTATTCTGGCTCCTACCAATTTACTGTGATTACAGTTAATCAATCAAGATACTACTGATGTCAATTCATTATATTTATAAAGCACACCTGTCTACAGGATCAGTTTCCTCCATGTTTACAAGGAAGGAAATGCTGAGTATGACGGAGCTGGAAACATAATACTTTGAGACTTTTTTCCCTTGTTTTTGCCAAGGGTACAGGACTATCTCAGCACATTAAGGGGTCGATGAACAGGGCCATAAAAGAACCTCCTTCCTTCAGACAGAACACTGAAGGTGGGTCGTGGATAGGTCTTCCAAAATGACAGTGACCTAAAACATACCACCAACATGTAAATCATTTATCACTTTGATGTAATGCTTTCTTTTCTGGACTTTCGGTTCATATTCTGTGTTTCTGCATCAATATTAGAGTGTGTTCATTTCTTTCTAAGTTAGCAAAATTGCAAATTCAGCAGGGGCTCTAATGCTTTCCTCCCCATTGTACATAGTTACATATTTTATTATTTATATTTTCAGGGAATCACTACCACATGAGTAGCTCATCTGATCTATAAGTATAATTACCCACCGAGCCAATGTCCTTTCTCTCTCTGGAAACCAACATCTTGTTATTTTTCACAGATACATCCAACTTCCTAGTTTGTGCTTGCTCGAGTAAGACGTCAAACTCAACCCTGTGATGAAAGCAGGTTGGGACAAAAAGGAAACCATGTCAATGGCTGAGCTTTAAAGATACACAATCTGCAAACTATAAATGATCAATTCTTCCTATTTGAAAAATTAGTACAAGATGGTTAATGAATCAGGTAAGCGTACTTTTCATTGAAGACAGGATTAGTTGTCCTCTTCTTGACATGCGTCTTCTTACGATGCTTCCAGGTTTGGTCGGGGAGGAGATACAGGCGGACGTAAGAGTCTGTGCCATTCTCGCTGCAGGGGAATAGGTTCCTGTGTGGTACAGACCACGGTATTTAAGTTTTGAATATTTAATTACATTTTTTACTGCCTTAAATACTATTGAAGACAGATTTTTGGGACATACCTGCAACTGTTAACAATGACAACAAGCTTATGTCTCAGGGTTGCGTAGCGTATAACCAGCTCAATCTCTCCAAACGAACCCTGATGATTCCTAATGGCCCTAAAGAGAAACAAATATGCAAAGGTCACTTTTATTTCTACTCTTTCAAAATGCAGCAACTGCCTCAGTTCACCATATTTCTAAAAAGGTTAGATGTCGACATTAACAGAACATGCAGAGAACAAAGTCTCACTCGGGATAGGTGGCTCCATCTGACAGGTCGAATCGTGATGAAGCAATAGAGTTCTCCGATAGCAGGCTGTGAGAGTCGAACCGACGCAAGTTTGCTGATGACGATGATTCCTTCCTGTTTTCAGGCGCCTGGAAGGAGCCACGGCGTTGAGCTAAATAACCTTCATTTGGTGAAGTTGGCACTTGTTTCGGAGTAGAGACAACAGGAATTTCTTTGGAGGAAACTGCGTTAGAAGAGGATGGAGCGTTGGAGGGATTGGAGACTGAGGTATTCCCTGCTTGTTTGGTCTGTTGCTGTTTGACTTCTGAAGGAGGATTGACGATAGGCTTGGGTGGAGGCTCTTCCAATTTAAGAATCTGTGTGAGTTGAAGACATGAGCAGTGCTACTGTGGCTAAAACCATCACTTATGAGAGAGGTGGAAAACACAATGGGGAAACCAACAGAGATAATTTGCTTTGGGTGTATGTTTGCATGCCCACCCTCAGAGTGGCCTTCAGTTTGATCTGGCTGGTTGCTCCAGAGCGCTCCAGCAGGAAGCGCTGGTCTAGAGTCAGGTTGGAGGTGTTGAGGAGGCGACTGAGGGGCAAGTTGAGAACACCGAGTGGATTCTTCTTCTCAGGCTCTTTGACCTGAACCACACATGAACAAAGAAAATATGAAAAATACAAATTACATTAACCTCATGAGGAGATCAGACAGATTGAAAGAATCTAGTTTCAGAATATGATTTAGAATTATAAGGTAGTTGTGGAAAAATAATGATTGAAGAATATGGTAAAAACAATTAGAAACCTTTACTTCTGTTAAAAAATGTTTAAAAAAAAAAAAAAGTAAAAAAATAGCTTTGTTGCTTTTTTTGCCAGAGAGAGAAAACAAACCTGAATAGAGAGCTGCTGCGCTTTGACGTTACGCACAAAGAAGGTGAAGCCCTCCTCCCACACCGGGTCTTTGGAAGCATACACAACCTGGGAAACAGTGAATCGAGTAGTAAAAAAAAAAGTTTTAAGACAGTTACTGTGCTACTTGTTTGCAATGGAAATATTTTTACAACACAGACTTTATATATATTACTGATCAAAGGTCAAAGTGCTTCTAGAACAAAAATAGTCAAACATTTTTAATTTTAGGCCACTTTAGAGAAAATAATGCTTAGAGTTGCTGGTGGGCTTTAGTTTTTTTCCCCATGCTAAGTCAGTCCTAAAACTAAAAGTTCTGATTTAACTAGAAATGACTAAAGTGTGTTTTAACACCTGAACTTTGGCAAAAAAAAAACAAGCCCAAATGCTGTAGTACTTCATTCAGGTTTAATTATGTTGGGCTTAAAGTGAATTTATTAAATGCCCTCTTACACAACTAATATTTTCTTTTAAAATATGCTGTTGACAGTACTGTGACTCGTAGGATCTGGAGCAGTGAAATACAGATAATCTCTGTTCTCTGTTCTTCTTCTCACGGAAATAACAAATAAGTTTGGTTGTTGAGACATCCACAGACAGACACGTTTCTGTCACAAGTGGGATTTTTGTGTGTATGTGAGAATTTACTTGAAATATACCTGCTATGCTTTCTAACATGTTTCATAATAAAGCTTCTCAATGTAGACCATTCTCTGGTTTAAAAAAATAATCTGCTACATTATGAACAAAGGGGAAATATTATCACACAAAGTGTTCTCAAACATAACTACTGTATATAAACAAAATTGTAAAGTGGATAAACGGTAGCAAATCAGCAAGTCTAACCATCTGGATTCATCACATATGAACAAGAATATAAAGAACAGAAACATTTAAAGGAGAAAATGACGTATCAGCATGTTTAAGTGAGAGCAATACCTTGCTTTTCTTAACATCCTTGTCAATGGAAAATTCAACAAAGGAGTTGGGGCAGGCGACTCTCTTTGTGAGCTGAAAATAAAGCAAATCAGTGAGACAGTGAGAGTATCAGTTTTCTAATTACTGACTTCTATGTCAACATTAATACCAGAATGACCAACTTGCAGTTGTAAACCTCTAATAAAAGTACATCTTTTCGTGTGAAATTTTGTCATAATTACGGTATGACCTTGAAAAGAAAAGCGTCTGGACTTCTTTAGGTGGCTTGAAGACATTTCACCTCCCATCCAAGAAGCTTCTTCAGTTCTAGGGTAAAATAGTGGAGAGTCCCAGATTTAAACCCAGTGGGACTCTCCACCATTTGACCCTAGAACTGAAGAAGCTTCTCGGATGAGAGGTGAAACGTCTTCAAGCAACCTAAAGAAGTCCAGACACTTTTCTTTTCAAGCTCCTTAGACTACGATGACCTGGATGACTGAGAACCTTCACAGACATACGGTATGAATTCTTCAGCTGTGGCCAAACCTGTGCTTGTGAGCTTAAGTCAGTGTTTACCTTTGATTTCATCCTTTTTACACATGCCATCCATTTGCAAAACCACAGTGAACAAAAAATGTCTATAAAGGAGCACATATATATATATATATATATATATATATATATATATATATATATATATATATGTTAAGAATAACGAAGTAATTGTGTAAACTGTGAAAAAAGAAAACAAAAAAATCCTGCCCCAAGTGGAGTTTAAGTATCTCAGGGTCTTGTTCCCGGGTGATGGGAGTAGGGAGCGGGAGATCGACAGGCAGATTGGTGTTGCGGCTGCAGTGATGCGGATGCTGTTGTGGTGAAGAGAGAGCTGTCTGTAAAAGCAAAGCTCACAATTTACCGGTCGATCTATGAGGTTGTGGGTAGTGACAGAAAGAACGAGATCGCGGACACAAGCAGCAGAAATGAGCTTCCTATGAAGGGTGGCTGGCCTCTCCCTCAGAGATAGGGTGAGACCTTCAGCCATCTGGGAGGAGCTCAGAGTAGAGTAGCTGCTCCTCCACCTCGAAAGGAGCCACTTGAGGTGGTTTGGGCATCTAACAAGGATGCCTCCCAGAGAGGGAGGTCTGGGCTTCTCTACTTAGACTGCTGTCCCCGCGACTTGGCCCCGGATAAGTGGAAGAAGATGGATGGATGATGAAAAACAAAACAAAAAATCCACATAAGATCTAGATAATAATAGCTACAAGGTGAACATCACCTTCTGGGATTCCTCTACTGTATTTAACATGAGCAGCTTCTACTGAGACAGAAGCCACAGGAAATCTCACTAAACACAGCGTTTATCTCATGGATCACTGCATACCTGACAGGCAGGCTGCAGTATGTGACACCTGGTGGCAGTCTGCCTTCTGTCATTGAAATTCTATGTGGGTTCTACAAACGTTGGGTGTTTGTCAACAAGCAGACTGGAATCTTATGAATTCAACCCAGTATTAAATGCAAACACACCACAGAAACTGGGACGTGTGGGAAACAGAAGTGTAAGCTGAGATTCATTAGAGGCACGGGGACACACACACGCGCACACACCACACAAAACAATGGCCAACCCTCCTTTTTGCATTTCAGGATAATGAAACCTTAACTTAAGACACTCAGTGTTCTCTCACACTTTACTTTTCACACACTTTTGACTGCTTTTTCATCCTATGACCAGCAGAGGACAGTCAGAGGCAATGAAATTATGCCACCTTGCACAAAGTGGAAGCTTAAACGCTCTGAGTAAAAACGTTTCTTAAATAATTCCCACACTTTCCTATAATTGCCCAAAATATCAGATGGATGGGATTCATATTTATTCATAAAGTCTAAGAAAAATGTGAATATTGTTACCTTAGAAACATCATTCTACAACTAGTTTAAAATTGTAGTAGTTTTGAGTTTTTCTCAGCACAGTCCTGACGAGTTGTGCGAGTGTGAGAAACTTAACCTGGAAAAGCCTCACGTGATATGAAAACTAGCTGACAATAACACACCCATACAAAATGACAGGCATGCACCAGACAAACTGGAAGAACCAGCTTTCAGACACAACCACACCTAGAACTACAAGAGAAAGCTAATCTGACCGAGACATCAAGATACGAAAGCGCTATCAACTGCACAGTGTTAAAATGAAACAGAAGCCGAGTTTTATTGGACAGTCAAAGAAAACAACCATCTGCGTATGTGAACGACAGACTTTGAGGCAAACATCTTCTCGATTTATCATTAAGAAGGAAAAAAAATTATGTGATGGTTTTTTTTTTTTGAACAAGCAAAATGAAATGTTGAAAATGCAGAAATGACGCCAATTTTATTAACTGGCATCAGTTATGCAACGACGCTCTCGTCTTACCCGTTCTTCTTTGGGGTTCTTCCCATGTTTATGACGGTCTGCAGCCTCACGGCCATCTTTCTATACAGACGTGGAAGAATATGGCTGAGCACACTTGAATCAATGCCTTAGAACAACAGCAATATTTCCCATTAGAAGATACTTACTGGTAGATCAGTGGCATTGTCCAGATACACTGCAAGCATAGCACAGGCAAGGTTGTCGGTGGACTGGAAGAAAGTGTTGGAGAGGGAAAAATAATGGGATTTATGGAGCAGCTGAGCGCAGTGCACATCCCGCCGCAGCTTTTAGTTCAAAGTAAAATGTATGAACGCGAGACTGAAGAAACACTGGGCTGCTGTACCTCCTTCATCAGGCTGGTGTCAGTCTGAAGGGAAAACCACTGGAGCTTAAGATGAACTTCACCGTGCTGTATATCCTCCAGAGCAAACCACTGGGAGAATAAGAGGATGTTTCAAAAGCTTTAATGTAAATACAAAACTATAGAAAATAGTAACACATACAAGAGCATTTGATAAGACATGTTGTGTTATAGAGATTACTGAGCTTATTCAGGATAAAAGAGC